TGACGTGAAATTTATTTGGACGAACATTTTGCATTTTGTAATAGATAATCCGTTACTGGTTTGAGAGTTACGGGTCACAAGTGAAAGCAGTGTCAGCGTGGTATTATTGTGATATATACGTCCTCTGCCTCGACCAGTTTTTGAAACCTACTTTCCTTCTAACCAGGCTAGCAGTGGCCACCAAAGGGTCCATAGCAGGAGCAACACCCATATGGTCCTATAGGACCGCAACAGTGGTTGACTGCCCTAAACCACTGTCCATTGTAGGGCCCGCAGAAGCCGCATGGCCCCAGCCCACCTGTTGGGCCGCAACAGGTGCCAGGCATTGAACGCAAGCAAGGATTACACATTTTCGTGCTAAGTAAAAGGAAAACCAAATTTAAGATTTCACCTTTTTTTTTTCTTTTTTTTCGAAATACTTACTATAGCCTGTTTACGGAAGTAGGTTGTCAAAAAGTTTGTGAAGGTTTTTTTGTGCTTAGAGATGTTTGTTCTTCAATAGCCGAGACGATTATGAGAATTCAGAGTTTGGGCTGTGAGCAAGGGGGTTTGTCGCTCAAAAATTGAATGTCGAAGCCTGCTGTGGTAATACTTGATGACAACCTAAGTGTATTTTTTCCAGAAGTTTGTTTGTTTACCTGCCTACTCAGTTATGGCTTGGGCTTCATGGGATGCTATATAAGTGAACTGCAAAACTATCTTTGGAATATCTAGTTTAACTCTTTGCTTTAGGTACTTTAAGGAATTGAGACTTTCTTTGGCACGCTATAAATATAATACATATATCAAGTGATTAAGACTGAATAGATTAAAAAACAACATTGTATTTCATTATTCTATTCATTTTGTAACTCCAGCTCTCTGGAAACCTTTGTTGGATATATACATATTTACAGCTAATTCTGTAAATTTTATAGTCTTCATATTCTGTGAATTTAAAATTAGGTTTATGTGATTTAAATTTAAATTTTATGATTCTAGCTTAAATAAGAAATATGCTGAAAGAATTGAATTTAGCAATAAATATTTAAATTAATTTAATAATTTAGCTACAGAAGGACTGATTCTTACTTGTTTCAAGGTAGAGCTTATGAGAAACGATTAAAAATCTTTGGCTCAGTATGATATCAGCTACAGTTTTGCCTTTGACAAATACTTTAGCATATCTTTAAATTCGTTTTTATTATATTTTTAGCCACTCGCGCTCTCAGCTGCGCTTAGAGTCTTGTATGTTTGTTTACCACAGATCTACTTCTCTTTAAGACAGACCAGAAAAAATAATCTATCAGTTGAATTCCAGAGCTATTGTCTGATTGAAATGAAGCTCGAAATACTCTTTGTTCATTTGAGTTATGTGGAAGAGCTGCTCATGGCTTCAAAATAACCTCCAGGAACATATTCACACACAACACTTAACATCCTGAATTCCTGTTTCTTATTTTTGCTATAAAATGAGCAGCTGTGGTGCCTTGCTTGACTTTACGTTGAGCCCTTAGGGGTGTTCCCTTGACACCTGCTGTCATATTAAGGTAATACGCATGTAGTTTCAACTCCCAGATGAACTACTTAAAAGTAGGCCAGGCAGTTGTTAATGCCCCTTCGGCTCAATTGCTACACTTGCTGCCTTCTATAAATAAGACTTAATTTGTTCTCGGAAATAAGTTTAAACGTATATTGCTTAACCATGAAATCTGTAAACGTCTGAGATTCAAGCATTTCTTTTACCTTAGACATTTTTCACATTCACTTTCAATTCCCATCGAGTGCTGCCCATCCGCCCAGTTGGCCAGACTTTGCATTCGCTTTGTTCTTATGGGTCCCCAGGCTAGCCATTAGCATTTGTGCTCTGTTAAGCTTTTGTGGAAATCAGCGCCCACAGAACCACAAATCCGTATAGTCAGTCCATGGCTGGAGCATAATATCAAATGGAAATACACTTGACTGCACTTCTGAAATATTTGCAGTGTCGCTTGCCGCTTACCCCTGAGGGTTTGCCACTCGTTCGGGCCATAACTCAGCGAGAGCCGAGCCACGCAACAAGTGTAGTTAAACTCCTTCTTTTTTTCTCTCTCTCTCTCTCTTTTGTTATTGTTGCTTCTTTTGATTGTTTTAGCTATGTAGTTAAGATAGAAACCACTTTTCTTGACTGTGCATTTTATAGGAGAAATATGCTGTTCCTTTGCCGCGTTGCCTCGCCCACTAGAGCTGCTCTTGCAGCTTGTTTACTTCAAGCCGTATCCACAGTCAAAGCGAAGTAAAGTCATTTGACAAGTTTTGTCACGTGCGTCACATGTTGGAATGTGCCCAGCTCAGCGAAGGCAGCGCTGCCTTCGTCCTGCCCTCGCTCAGGCCTCGTCCTGCCTGGCTTCAGCACATTTCAAGCAATTTTCCACACAGCAGTTGTCGTCATTGTTTCACAAAATTATTCTACTTGTTGTCGTTGTTGTTGTTGTTGTTGACCTGGTTTTTCTGCTTACACAGCGCCCAACACTTTTGTTGTTGTGCCGTTGTCCTGCCGTCGCCTAGAATCTGAGAGTGTTGCTCTTGTCGCTTCCGTTGTTTGTTTAAATGTGTTTGTGATTATTTAGTTATGGCATCTAATTGAGTTTTCTGTTGTTATTTGTTTTAGTCATTGTCTGTGTGTGTGTGTGTGCTTGGAGGCCCTTGTGCACTCTGGCTAATTGAGTTGATTACCTCAACATCTTGTCAGCTTGTCCATTGACAGAAAGAACTCAAAGTTTAAAGATTGAACAAGGCTGTTAATTAAGAGAATTTTTCAGTTTGAAGGGTCGTTGAGCTGGAATAAGGAAATTGGATTGAAGGATCTGCTATACAGTTTAGCTATATAATATAAAGACGATCGAGAAATTGTTTAATAAATTGGTATTGGACAACAGTTTCCTTCTATATATTTTAGTAATACTTCTTCATGGATTTGTCCTCTTATATTCTCAACTCAACAAACCCATTTCAGTCATTGCCAGTTGAGAGGGGTATAAAAAACATAAATATAAACTTGTTAAGCAACTCCAACTAACCCATAGAAAAACCAAGTACTAGCACACACACACACATACACATTGAGCGACTCACGTTAATGCTCCTTGAATCGTTCACAATAGACGATTGGCAATAGACAAACTCCATTTGAGCGTATAATTGAATGCAACGGCGCTTTATAAGTCAGCATCCGCTCGACTCGATGACGTCTTAACTCACTCTGGGGTTTTGTGCTTCTGATTGCTCAATTGCTGATGGACTCAGTGACAGACTGACCAACTGACTGACTGACTGACTGAATGATTGACTAGGCGCTGGACTGTGTGGGTGAGCGACTTGGCTGACTTGTTGTGCATTTCAATAAAACATTCACCGCATAACTACAATGGGCATAAGTTATGCTCCCCTGGCGCCGACATCGAAGGACTTGCTCGGATTTCAATGGCTCACGGCTCAACAGCAGCTCCATGAAAGAGACAGCCATATAGAGACAGGAATAGAGGCAAACAAACAGAGGAATAGAGATGGCCACAGAGCACTTGACTCGCACTAATTCCCGCAGGATGATAGAACATGCATTGAATGGACTGATTGATGGTATCCGCTCAGATTGCTTTGTGTGGCATTCAGCGGCTTATTTAAGTTGGCTCAAACACGCAGTCAATGCGTTCAACTACATCCCACAGTCGTCATAATCGATAACAATGATGCGTAAGTAGATTGTAGACTCTACACTAAATTTTGGCAAATTTAAGATTAGATTAACGTGAGTCCTCCATAAATAATTACAAAAATTAAATTGAAATGAAATTAAATTCATGTTTTTTCAATGAATAAGTTTTTAAAATATATTTTGAATTATCAATAAAAATAAAAATTATATAATTATATTTTAGCATTTTCTTGAATGCTTGATAATTTACTTTTTTTAAATACTTTTTCCAGCAGCCTTTCTCCCATTAATCAAAACGAGAAACTCCAACAACAACAACTGAAAAGTTATCGCAGGACTTCCGCTGCACGGTCGGCACTTTGAATGGGGACATTGAACTTCCTCAATTTCGAGCTGCTTGAGGCATTCATAGCACAGCTTTGAAGCAAATGGAAACTGCTGCAAGCACGTAACGTTAAACAGCCAGCAGTCACAACATAAGTTGATACATACATATATATGTATATAGCTGTGTATATTTTTTAAAGTTCTTCAACTTGGCACCGCAACAATGCAGCGAAATATGAAACCAACACGCGATGTACAAAATAAGCAGAAATTGAAATCAGGCAAACTTTAAATATATTTAAAACATTTCTATAATGTGTATTGGAAATGAAAAATTCTCTTTTATATTTCACTTTCTTTTTGTTTGGCATATCAAAAGCCAAGTGCTGCTCGGTCAATGATTCTCAATGGCTGCTTCAAGTCTTGCATTTTCTCATTCATATTGCAATCAATTAATTAAATTGAGTTTTGCTCTTGCTGCAATTTGCAATTATACAAAAAGGTATTCAAGAATAGTAGCTACGGCAGCCCCAACAGCAACAGCCAAATACAAATCAATCAAAAATTCTTGGCATTTGCATTTAGAATTCGTGAATTACACTTGGCATTGGGGGAAACTTTGAATGGTTGCTATCAAATATGTAAGACATTGCTTTGATATATGTAAGACATTGCATGAATTGAGTTCAAATACCCTGGCGAATTGATGCTTTTGGTTAGATATATGTATGCAATCTTTAAATAAATGTAATTATCGTTATTTCATATACATACCAAAAGAGAACTGGGGTCTAAAATACAATGGATATATTTTCTTTATATACAAGAAATTACCAAAAAACTTTAAATTTTTAATTTTTTCGAATTACATATTTTAAATTTTTTTTAAACAACATTTTTTCTCACAACAAAAGGTATTCTCTAGTCTACGACCTTTTATTTATTATTTCTTTCAATGCATTTTAAATATATCAAATTGAAATTCATTTCGCCAGCATTTAAGTAATTTCACTTTTCTATCTTGGCTGCTGCAATCAAATTGAATTAGACGTGCTTAAATTGCCCAGATCATTTGAAAGTTATTTGGGCAGCCTAGCGGCATGAACGTTTTCGGATTAAGTCATAAATCATTAAGCTAATTAATTTAAATACATGTGCCAAATTAGAAGCGTATAACAGCTAGCAGCTGTTCCACCTACAAACGCATAAATCTCGAAAGCAATTTGTCCTTAAAGTGTCATAAAATGCATGCAGCTCCAGCTAGTTAGCAAGAGTTGAAGTGAACTTCAAGTACAAGTTTATAATTAAAACTTTACGCACGTTTTGTCTAAGTAAATACAACACACACAGACACGCACACAAAACAGATAGAGGGCGAGAGAGAGAGAGAGAGAGAGAGAGAGGGAGCGCGTCAGTCTAACAACATGGCAACTATTTGGCTTTGGCCTTTTCGTATGCGTGATGCGCACAAAAATTTTGTGTTGCATACTTAAGTGGGCGAGCTGTTGCCCCAGGGCTGCATTCGCAATG